CTACAGAACGTGGAGACTATGGGACCTCTCCAAAGGGAACAGTCACCCCTTGACCCTAACCAACCACGCCTGTGGGCAAGGAATATTGCTGGATTTTCTGGTTTTTAAGAGAAATCAGAGGAATAGATTTTATTTTTATGAAATTTTCCCACATATGAATTGGATATTAATTTTTAAAAAACCGTTTAAAGCACTGTGAGAGGCTCTGTTTCTGGAAACATAGTGAGCTAGGATATTTGGATCCACCCATCCTGCTGAAAAGAAGTTAGAAAGCTAAAGTTAAAGTATAAAAACTGAGAGGACCAACATAACACCCCCAAACAAAACACATTTGTGGGACAGAGTCTGCCTCGGCCAGTTTTGAGATACGGTCCGTGAGGGTCACCTGGAGGGCCTGGCTAAAAACACAGATTCCCAGGCCTCGTCCACAGAGGTTTGCAGTCAGGAGGGCCTGGGTTGGAGCCTGTGAACTTCCGTTTTTAGCAATCTCTGCAGCTGACTCCACTGCACCTGGTGTGTAAATGGTATTTTGAGAGACACTGCGTTGAGTCACTGTGTAGTTCTAGACATGTCTTGCTCCCCTCTGGGCCTCAGTTTCCCCATCTGTAAAATGAGCACGCTGAATGAATACTTCTCTGAGGCCATCTGCTCCACCAGACTTTCCAAGGTCCCTGTCACCTCGGGTCATCGGAGAAAGACAGCAGTTGGATCCATGCCTGGCCTGTATCCACCAGACCCCTCTGGAAATTTCTATCCTGACACTCAATCCTGAAAATTTGTTAACATTTTGTTGATAGCTTTTTGAATTTAGTAACCTAATGCAAAGGGTAAAAAAGTCATATCAAAGCTGAGGAAAAGGGAATGTGAATAATGAGATTTTCCAGCTACTGCTACAGAGCATTAGCAGCCTTCTCAGTGCTTATACGCAGGGGAAGTTCCCACGCACAAGAGGGACAACAGAGGGGCTGTACAGAGGAGGAAAGGCAAAGCCAGCGAGTAAAGCAGGAAGGCTGTCTTTCCAAGAGGAGCCAAGGAGACTCAGAGTCGAACCTGAATGAGAAGTAGTGGGTGGAAGTTACTCACGAGAGAATTTAGTCCAACATCAGAAATCACTTTCTAAACGTCAGAGGGGTGCAAACATCGGTTGGGCCCCTTTAGGAATGGCGAGGGGCCCATCAGACCCTCGATGGGGAAGCATCCCAAGGGATCTAAGCTTCAGAAAGATAGACTAGATGGATCAGTTCAATAGATATGTAATAAGCATCCACAATGCTGATTTTCATCCCCCAAAACACAGCAATGCCCAGGACAGACTCGTCCCTGCCCTCACAGAGCGAAAGGCCACGTAGGGAAGACAGATGACCACATGCAGGTCATCATGGACGGCGCAGGTGCAGAGAGGAAAGGAACAGGTTGCTGCGAGAGCAGACAGAGGAACTCCCCTGGTCTGGAGCTCTTCCTTGCAAGAGTAACACTGGAGCTGAGCCCTCAAGGTCCACCAGGTGAGTGAAGAAGGTGCTAGAACATTCCAGGGAGGGGTCCTTCCTACTTTGAGTTTCCCCACTTTGTGCTCACTGGTCGTAGGAGTTGAAGGACAGACACCTCGGTATTTAAGGAAAATTGACTGTGTTAACCTTCAAGAATGGCCGATCATCTAAAGAGCCTTTTGCTCTCAAAAGCTTCCTGCATTTGCACCCAGTGTCTGTGAGAAAACTTCCCCAGAAGGAACCATGTGCCAAAAGGCAAGACCCACAGTCAGCTCACAGGAAGGAAGGAAGGTGGAAAAGCCGGTGGAGGAAAGCTCTGGGAGAGGCAGGACATTGGTGGGAGAGCTTGGAGCGGGCGGTCTGGCCGAGAAAGAAGATTCCGTTTTCTATCTGAGGACTCAGAGAGGGGGACAGCTATTGCTCAGGTGTTTTATTCTTTTCTGAAAATCTCCAACTCCAAATTTGTCTCCTAAAACATTCTTTTCAAAAAAATCAGCTGAAAATATGAAGAGAGACCATAAGAGAATTTAGAGCTAAGAAATATGAAAACAGTTGACCTGTTGGACTGGGGATGGGGAGCATTTCTGTCTTTATTTAAATGCTGGTTTTATTTTTTAAATAATGGGTTATAAGTTTGTGCCCACCATCACCACCAAAAAAAATGTAGAAGTGGGGTAGACCGATGCATCTGAAAAGGATAATTCAATGTTTCCCACATTTTAATCCCTCACAATTTTCAACATATATGAATACCACCAATATTATTATTATGAAACGTTATCAAGTCAATCCGTTTTTAAAGCTTATCACTTACTGAAGTCTTATCCTAAATAATATCTATGAAAACACATTTCTGATGAGCTATTTGTGTTAAAATAAAAATATAACCATTAATTTTTTAATTGCTCCAAGTGCCACCTGAAATCATCTCACATACTTCATCTGCTACCTGGACCTTAATTTGGAAAATGCTGGACAGACCTTCCCGGTTCACATCCTGTTCTTCTTGGACTCAGAAATACAAGCTCAGTTAGGCCCCAGGGAAACCCGCTGGAACAAAGGATATGGTAATCAAAACTGGTAAATGCATGCAGTTGTCCTAATCATGTCACGCATGCTCGGTGGCCCTGTCACTTCACGAAGCTGAGATCTAGACAGAGCAGGGCAGACTGAGAAATACCCAGCCTCCCTCCATGTCTGCAGTAAGCCTCACGCCAGCCCCATCCCAGGGAGCCAAGGTTCATTTAAGGTTCCCAGCTTCATTTTAAACCTAGCCGTACTGTAAAGAAAATGGCCACGTGAAAAATATCTTACAAGACTCCAGTTAGCTACGACACCCAAGAAGCTGTTAGCAGAGCAGGCCATGAAGCCAGAGTTCACAGCTCTTGCTCCCACCCGAAGCTCTTGTAGGTCTCGTTTTTCTGAGGATGTGGGGAGTTAATACATGTAATGGGATTAGAATATCAATTAGGTAAGCCATTAAGAATTGTGGGTCATTATTGCGATTAGTCCCACCATGTCAGCCCCTGTCAGAGGGTCAGTCTCAAAGCGGGCCAACTGGTGTTCTCATTAGGACAAAAACCCTAGTGAAAGAAGAGAAGTTTGGAGACACGCACAGAGGGGTTATCAACCCACGTGGCCTCTCAATAGCTGGGCCAACCTGGTGTTAGCTCTTTTAGTCTTCATAACAACTGCACGAGGAAGGCACTTTTATTGACCCCTTTTACAGATGAGGAACTTGGACTCCGAGGGTAAGTGGTGGTCCAAGGTCACTGCAGAAAGGATAAGAAATGAGACTGGAACGCTGGCCATCTGGCCCAGGTGCCCAAGCTATGCAGGTGCATTGTGTCCCCACTGGCTCCATGATTGGAAGGGTGGGGACGTCCACGCTGACCTGAAAGGACAACGTCCATTCTGCAGGGGCCACCACCGTTGCTCCACCCAATGAGGGGGCAGGGGGGTTTTCTCGAGAGAAACTGGAAATCCATATTTTTATGGGAAATGTTTCTATCTTTCAATGGTGGTAGCTAATTAAAAATTTTTAACTCCATGCCTGCCAAACCAAACACAGCCACAGGGCAGAAGCCACGCAGAGGCCTCCAGTTTGTGATCTCGGAGTTCAGGTAGAACTTTTCAGTAGGTCCGATTTCCAATAGCCATGCCCCCCCACTGGGCCTATCGCTGTCACCCCCAAAGGCTAGTAATCCGGGATAGTCCCCAGTCATTGGAATCCCTGGACCTACGCCATTCGTATCCCACCTGAAATAAACTCCAGTCCATAGCTGAATCTGTAGAGACACCTTTCCCCCGAAGAGAGGCGTTCCCCAGAGACTGGAGTGAAAACCACGCTGAAACTCCACAGCCTCCCTGACCCGAGGCAGGGAAGGGGCGAGGCCGAGCACCACTGCCCTCCTGGTTCGCTCAGTCCCTGCAGCTGAGGCGGGGTTGTTTTCAATTTAGAGAAGTAAACAAGTCTAGTGTGTTTATAGGACAGTTTGAACTCGGGGACAGCTCAAACAACGGCTTTGTAAACCTGGCCGTGGTTTTGGACCTCAAAACACGTTTCTCAAGACTCTGGGTTCTGAAAAGCCCAAAACGTATCCTCCCACATGTTTTTGCCATGCTAAGCTTTTGTTTATTTTTCCTGGGATGTGGTCCGTAAGTCCCAGAAGTGTACAATGAATTCGTCACCGTGATATTTTGACAAGGATGTCCAAAACCCCTTAGAACTTTCAGAAAGGCTTGTGTGAAACTCCTTTTTTTTTCCTAGAAATAAAAATTATCATTTTGCCTACAATAGTGGAACTGGAAGGCTTGAAGCTGATTTGGATGACAGAGAACAATTTCCCAGAAGGTTCTGAAATGTGGCCCAGATGTCCATTGTCTGAAGCTCAGATACTAGGACGCAGGTTACTTTTCACAGGAAAAAAAAAAGAAAGGAATAGACTCCTAACTTCTCTTTGCATACATATGTTTTGTCCGTGGTTTTATTCCAACCACAGGCCTGCAAACACCGGCTGGGACAGCTCTCTCCACCGCCCCCCAGGCTCAACGGCTGCGAAGGAAGCAAAGCCATGGCACCGGCCTTAAAAGGCTGCCCTGCCCGGACCCATCATCAACACCCTGGAGCCAGAAATAACGCCGAGCGCGCCACACCATCAATTTACTTCCCACACACACCACGGTCCCCTCCAAGTCCCATGTGACAGCGCTGTGTCTGCTTTCTAGAGAGTTGTTTTTTTTTTTTTTTTGCTTTACAAGATTAAATATTTTGCTCTCACATCTCTGTGAGACAGTGTTTTAATTCTCAGTCTCCAGAACAAGTCTCTCGTTAGAATTCTAGGTGCCTGCATCTAGGCACCCCATCCCTTCCCTTCCCCCAAACCCGTGTATGGCGTTTACACGCGTTCTGCACCTGACGAGAACTTCACATCAAGTCTGCCACTGTCCAGAGGGGCAGGTGCCACCTGACAATGAAACGCATTAAAAAGAACACGAATGGCGCTCACTCACCCTCAGGGCCACACTGGGCTGGGTTACTGATGCACGAGGTTTTGTACCGTCCGTAATAGAGAAGCGTGACTCCTTTTTCCTCTTTGAGGTAAATGCCTTTGTTGACCTTTCCTTCTACAATATCTAAGTGAGAAGCATGACAACATGGTACGTTAATAATCTTATGTGATTAAAAGTCTAAAGATGTGTCAGACTTACAAACAACTTTCATACAAATATACTGTATTATTTATATTTATAATTACATATTTATAATATATTTATAATATTATATTTAATATTTAATTATTAATAATTAAATTATAAATAATGTATGAGTTAGTGTGAATATTAAATTTTAAATTAATTTTATCATATTAATATTTTATCATTAATTAACATTATATTACTGTATAATATGAGCTATACTATAATGATCGTATAATCATCATATTTGCCAACAGTTGAGTGACCAGCAGTGAAATGATTATAATCCCTTACTGTCCTAAACTTGAATTCCGTCTCCCTGCTCTATGAGTCCTTCCCACGGCCATCTTCACACTGAACTTTCCGGTGAAACACTTGGTTACAAGTTTGAACATAAAACTCCACCTGAACTCCCTCTCCTTTTGAGTTCTAATTGAAAGTCCCTAACCTTAGACATGGGAACCCACGATTTAAAAGAATCCACTTTCAGAATCTGGAAGGAAAGCCCAGAGTCAGGTTTCAAATCGTCGCAGAGGAGCCTGCCAACGACAAGGAGGGCCGCGAGTCCCGGCTGAGCCGCATCCAGCCTCGCTCTGTTTTGTCCTATTCCCATAGCAAAGGTATCTGACCGTGTGAGCGTGAGGTAAATGGTTTACAGACTTGATAAGTGAGGACTGTAAACACCAAAAGTGATTAGGCATTTATTGTTAACTGGGGTCAAAGGCGCCTCGATACCTCGTCTGCCACATGGGCTTACGCCTGGGGCTGTCCACCCAGCCGGAGGGGTGCAGAAGGGCTGGTGGGGTCTTCTGCCCTGACCACTACCCCAACTCGGGTTTTCTAACAACCACGGTCGTGTGGATAACCAACCCAGAGGGCTCCAGTGTCTCCTCTCACTGTTTGTAAACTCCTTATTTTTATCTATCCACTTATTGCTGGGAGGGATCCATATATCACAAAATGAAATGGACAACTAGCAGTTGCATAATTGAGTTAGGCTGTATAAACCCTCAAACCAGACTGTTCAATTGGAAAAATTAATTTTGGAAGCCAAACACCTCACAGCTGAAGCAATCAGGTTATGTGTAAATCAAAGATCAAGGAGTGAGAACTAGGTGACCCGAACTGACTTTCTACGCTGACCAAATAGATAGATAGATGGCACAATCACTACCAGCCCTTTTGCTTTGAGCTACGTAGGGAAAATACAAACCATATGGGCTCTGGAGGTTATTAAATAAGATAATAATTCAACCATGACTCTTGTGGGTGTGTGTTTTATAAAACAGCTTCTAATGATTACCAAAAAATTCCAGCTACAGAAGAAATGCTGATTTTAATGTTTGTAAGAGATCAAATTTTTGATGAGGTATTTTTAAATCAACTTTAATTTTCCATTCAGAGGGCATGCTTTTCCTCTCCCAAAGAATATAATCCATTTAAAAATCCAAACAATTTCTATTTTTAGAAAATATCTCATCGTATGTGTGTTTTGTTCTGGAAAGAAGCAGCTGGTTTGGAAGATCTGATGGCTTGAAGGCTTATATACACCTCCTGACATATGGCACTCAGTGACACTTCCTTTAGACCTAACTCTAAGTAGTTATTTCAATACCCTGGATCTTTGCTGTTTTCTTGCATATCTGCTCATTTTCTAGCCAAGATGAGGTGAATTCATGTAGAAACAAAGTAAATTGGCCTTTAAATTCATTGCAGATCCAAACTCGACAGAACACAGAACAGAAATACACGAGTGCTCACCTACAGTTGCAGAGAAATTTGAGTAGGCAGAGTCATTGGTATATACAAAGGTAGAATTATGGGAAGGAAGCACAGTGAGGTTGTGGGTTCGCAATGCTGGGTGGAACAACAAAAGAAAAAGCACAACAAATGAGTGACACAAAAACAAATGGAACCAACATATCTCTCAACTCAACATGCAGCAAGAAGTGTTCCTCTCACCCAACGAGCATCTTGGATTTTCTCTTCTGACCTCGCCCCCCCACCTCCACCACTCTCAGTCAATATTATGGCCAACTCCAGTGGCCCCGTTCCGTCCCAGAGCTAGGGTGTGATTTCTGCTGAATTTGGCCACAAACATTGGTTCCAATTTGCTGGCTCCAGCTCCCCCCCCCCCGGGAACTTAGTTGAGAGATATGAAAATGAACTTGTCCTAACAAAAGGATTAATGGTTGTGATGTCACAAGAACTGATGACACAGAAACACAGCATGAAAACAACTCCATGATGTGATGACAAATGGACGAAACAACAGAGAATTCAGCAACAAAGAACACAGCTGCACATCCGCAATGACTGTCAAAGCTGGTCAACTGGCTCCTGCAGCAACGTGTGCTGATGGAGTGGATTCTCTTTTTTTCTTAAGAAGCCTGTAATCGAATTGAAATACCCCAGCATAGCATTATACCATAAAGAGTGGATCCAATAGAAAAGGACCGTGAAACCTTCATCGTTCGAGTGTTTTGGGACAAACGTTAACATAGTTAGAGTTTTATGGGAAATGAATACATTTGGTGAACAAAATTCAACCACGATGTAATTGTATCTGAGTAATTACATCATCTTATAAGAAGAATTTTTCATTAGTAAAGGTCTATCAAAACACCATAAGTTACTGATTTAGTCACAACCATGAGTTGAGTTGAGGGGGTGAGGAGAGAAATCTAGTGATGGTTATTTATCCTCTCGTTTGAAATAACTCCTAAAATTGTAGTTTCCGTGTCCTAAACGATGAACTATTTCGAAATGCGTTTCCACTTGGTGGAAGGATCGCCTTTCCAAGGCTTTAAAATAAAGGCCCTGAGAAAAGAAAGCCAGACTATCACCAGGGGAGGCATTTACTGTCACCCGAGCTGGTCCCCTAATCAGCTTCTACAAGGACTTTCCTCCCTGCAGGGCAGACTGTTGGAGAAAATGTCGAGCTTGAGGACAGTTCTCAACTGTGGCACCATCGCCACCCGCTATGCAGGCAAGCAGGAGGACACTGAAGGAAGGAGAGTGGCAATGCGCCCCAGACAGCACCCTCTGGGGGACCCACCCCGCGACGGTGCTCCTCCTCTAGGGACACCAGCAGCACAGACCAGCTGTAATGCTTCTCCATTTGCAGATTTAAAGGGAAACGTTTTAGAACCTGAGGTGGCAATTTACGGCAGCACATGAAGTCACAGGAATAAGGAAAATACCAGGGTGCTGGGGTGGGAAGCAGAGCAATCAGCAATATGTGGGGTTTCTAAAATAATCCATTCCACTGAACCAGTATAGACACAGTCTGAGCGTGTGCTAGGATGGCTGTGCAGTAAACCCCTTCTGGTGTATGCCTCAGGCGTTTGACATAATCCAGAGCAATAAGGAAATAAAAACGTTAAAGCATCCCAAATCACTTGAAACTTATACTTTGGATGGAATGGAACAAAAGGGCTCAGGGAAAGATGAGGTTTAAACTCCTTCTGGCAAATGTCTGAAGTGAGTGGGTTAGAGCCTCTCTTTTCCATGGAATTGGGGACCGTGGGAAGCATCGCAGGCGATGTTTGGTCTTTTCAAAGGGGAGCTGCCGTGATGAGCAGAGAAGCCGACTGGCAGCTGGGGTGCCTTCCCTGACTGAAGCTGTGACCCAAGAACATGCGAGCTAATCTTAGGTGGCACAGCCTTTGGCACTGGGTTCAAAGGGGCCCCTGTTGGACAGGCATGTAGATTATGGCAGTTTTGTCTAGTTAGAAAACGTACATCTGGACTCGTACGTAGATGGATCTGTCACCTACAGCTTAAAGCTCACAACAGCTGCTTCTGTTTTAAGGTTGCTGGGCAAAATGCACATTTTAATAATATTTTGAATCATAAATTCTGTCTTTCAATCATAAAAATATATAAAAGTTCTAGTAAAATACTTCACAATAACAATGACTGGGGGAAGCTACACAAATGTTTGTTAATCTCCATCATCCTGGCTTCAGAGCAGATCTGTTCATGTCTGTCTCTCCTGGTGGCCCCTGATGCCTGAGAGCCACCCACTCCTCTGTCTCAGTCACTGTCACCACCCATGTCTACCTCCAGTTGTATCCTGAAGTTCGTGGATCCCGTCCACGTTTTCCAATGGCCAGTAATGCGAAGCAGAAGCCAAGACCTCAAACCCTTGGGGAAAAAAAAATAATAAAAATGTTAAATCACCCTTAGGAAGGACAGAGCCAAAGGTAAAGAACTACTTACCAACTACATCATGAACTGAGGGAGAGTGAATCTCACAGTGACCATGGGAGGTATTAAAAGCACATGAATAAATTCAATACCCACTCCTGGTTACAAAAAAACTCTTAATAAATTAGAAATTGATGAATATTTCCTTAACAGGATAAAATATAATAAATAGGACTTTAGAGATACCTTTTAACGGAGGAAAACAAAAGCCGCTCTGCTTCACAGTGCCCCACTGGAAGCAGGCCGATTAGTGCCAGAAAAAGACAAGAATGCCCATTATCCCATTATCATTTAATATTGTGTTAGAAGAGATACCAACGCAATCAGACGAGAGAAAGAAATAGGTTGGAATAATTTAAAAAGAGGAGGAAACCAACACTGATATTGTGCCAGACCCTGTGTGAGGCTCTTTACCAACCTTTCCTCATTTCCTCCTAACAGTAATCGATAAGACAACTGTAGCCTATTTGTAAAGACAAGGACTAAAATGCTTCCTCGGAAACCACCCAGCCGGCTGGTTTTAGATGTGATGTTCACATACAAGAATTTCTAAGTTTGGTCCTGATCTTTCCATTATCTCTGTTTCCTCCATACGAAAAATTAATCATTTCAAAAATTCCTTTCTGATCCTTGTTCTTTGAGTAGATATAATTTTGTGCAGAAATATTATTTTCTACTATTCTCTTCCCACTTAATGCCATATGAATTGTTTCATTCATTTACTGCTATCCCGCCTTCCTAATCGACCTTGGGGAATAGTCCATGGAGGGGCTGCCCCATCACAGGCTCAGCCGTTCTCATAACTAATCTTCTCTGGGCTTAGTTCTCTGCCATTAGTTCCCAGAAGTGGAAATAACAGTCTAGATGACTAAATAATCATCAACAGCCCCAAATGTCTGCCAGATTACAGAAAAGTAAAAATTAATAAAGTAATCTTTGAGTTATTCATAGTAAAAAGAATTTTTAAAGAGGAGATAATGTGATCATTATTTTCAAATGATGTATGCCTGATAATGAAAATGAACAACTATTACCAATAAGAAAAGAATTTGGTAAATGAAAAACTGTGACAAACAGTGAAAGAATCTAGTAAAGAGGCTGATACAGATATAATTTGCAAATGTCAGTAGCTTCTCTGTATTAAACAACAAGGCTAAAAAATAATAGAAGAAAAGTTCTCATTTACAAATGCAGCCAATAAAGAGAAGACATTTAAGAACAAAAATATAAAAACTGTACACAATTCTCACGAAGAAAACAATAAAATAATGCTGAAGGATGTAAAAGAACTCTTGAATAAATGAAGGACTTAACCTATTCTTGGAAAAGAAAACTCAAAATCATAAAAATATCAACTATCCTTTAATTAATATACAAATATTAGGAAATTTGTTGTAAAAATGCTGAGAGTTTTTTGTGTGAGAGAAAGCTGATTATGGAGCTTATATAAAAAATAAATGAGACAGAATAACCACAAAATCTGGAGATGAAACGGCAAGGGACACTGAGGGGATCAGCGGGAGCAGCTCTTAGTACCATAAATACTCCCAAGCACATATGAAACTTTAGTTTATGATAAAGGTGGTGTTTTAATCAGAGAAGAAACATTTTTCCACAAAAGGCATTAGAACCAGTTAACCATCTACAAAAACTTAAGATCCCCATCTCACTCTTTATACCATAACTATTTCCAGATGGATCAAAATGTCAATGTAATAAAATAAAACACAAAGACTTCTGAGGAAATCAGCTTATAAACTTGACTACATAAATTTTTAAAATTTCTGTACAGAAAAATAAATCAAGCTAAATCGAACTGGGGAACAATGTCTATATAATACATAGGAAAGAAATGCACTGATTTCTTTTTAAAGAATGAATTAAATTTATGATATTAATAAAAATCCTATTATTAAGAAAATTTAAACCAACAGAGTATTGGGGCAAAGGACATAAACAGACAGTTCAAAGAAAAAGAAATGCAAATTATTTTTAAATATATGCAAAGATGTGCAACCTTGCTCATAATTCTTGAAAGCACATTAAAACTACGATGAGCTGGCCTATCACAGCTCACAGGTCAGACACACTAAGTTAGACACACTAAGTTGGCAAGCTCTACCCCTTTTTGGTGAGATTGAAATCAGCATAGCCTTTCTGGAAGGCAATGTGACAGTGCCTGTCTGAATTTCAAGCGCACATTCCTTCAGACCTCGTAATTCCACCAGGAGGAATTGATCCTAGGATACACTCTGTGCACAGGGCATTTGCTGCAGCTTTTTTTAACAGTATCAAAAGGCTGCAAACCGCCTAAACGCTCACCCACAGACGGCTGGCTACACAAAGACGGGGTGTCTACATGATGGACTGGCGTGGACCAGGATAACTGACGAGGCTGACATACGTGTATGACGTAGGATGTTCTTTAAGTTACACCGTTAAGTTAAAAAAAATCAAGGTGAGAAAAAAATGTGTGTGCTACGAACTCTTTATGTAAAATACAGCTGTTCAGCAGACGGGGAGGGAGGGAAGCAGAGAAAGGGAGAGGGAGAGGTGTTTGGATGGATACCGTAGGACATACGATAAGGTATGTTGGGGGTGAGGAAATCGAGGAACTGGGTGTAAGATGGAAGAAGAAGATTTACATTTCATTATCTTTCTGTTCTGTTTGAATGTTTGGACCCGTACTCCTTAAAAAAGTATGTTAAGACTTCTTCCTCAATTACAATGACCATAGGCGACGTCCACACTAAATTTCCAGATGAAACTGGAAGCGCTCCATCTCATATCTGGACTTGTGTGCACAGGGTGCCAAGCACCTGCACGGCTCCAGATCATTGGGTCCATTCTTCAGTTTGCAGCTGTGAGGCTGTCTTCTCAAAAGTGTTAAGTACGTGAGTCCAAAATGTAAGCCGAGTACAAAGCTGTTCTCCGATCTGGGCTAAGGAGAGGTGGGGCTCCATCCACTTGACCCTGTGCGCATCAGAGACACTGACTGCAGCGGATGCCCCCTGGCAATGGCCCACTCTAGTAATGCAGCACTGAGAATCGGAAAGGTAAACATCAAAAATACTTGTTTTCATTTCCACCATGCTTTTTTCCCCTAAAATCTAGGATATTCATTTTGAGGAGGGGAAAATATCATTAACTTGTTATTCAATTCATCTGGGGAAAAAAAAATCAGAAGAGGAAATAACATCTGTTGTACAAAGAACAGATGTTGTATCTTCAGAATTCTCATTTTCATAAAATAAACCCTGTGGATAATAAACCCTTTCTTATCCTCTCCGTTTACAAATGGCCATGGTCCATCCTGGGCAGAAAGGCTGACAGAGTAAAGAGATGCTATCTTGTTCACGTGGAAAGATACACCCCGAACGCTAGCCAGAGTCCGCAGTGTCAGTGAAGAGAAGAGGGGCTTGGGGTCAGCAGGGGGCCTGCTAGCCCACGTCACTGCACTGCAGACACGTGACACACCCACTCGGTTGCCCCAGATGTCTGGTAACTAGCAACGCAGAGTTAGTCCAACAGACTGGAAACAGGAATGGAGGGGCAAACCGAAAAATCCACAGGGGCCAGGGGCCACAGGGGGTGCTCCAGGTAGAGGTCGGGATGCTGTTCACGATGGTCACCAGCCCGGAAGGCACAGGCCAGTCAGAACAGATGCTGGAAACAAACCGCTGGTGTCACTCCAAGTTGCACTTGGGGAGGCTGTGGCACACTGGAAAGTTCGTGTCCTGTCTAAAGAAAGAAGCGGCTTTCCAGGCCAAGTCATCGTGGCTCTGGAGGAAGATCTACCCAGTGTTGCCAAGTCTGCCATCTTTAAAGAGAAGTCAGAAACCAGATTTTTTTATTTGAAATATCCTAAAATTTTAATGTTAGCAATTAAGTTCTTTTTAATTAAAACATTGTGATGCCAGCAAGACATGCCAAAGAACTCAAGTCAACACTTTCACATTACTCTTTTTAGATTCCCTTTTATAGCCTAAGGAGTAAACAACCTGTAGCCCTAAAATGGCAACAAAACAAGAAAATCTCATTCTTTTAGGAATAAGATTCTCCGTCTATTTTCCCACAAAGAAGATGGCATGAGATCTCCTATTTATACAGTTGCCCCGTTTTCACCAGGTAAACTCTCATCAAGACTAAATGCTCAGACAAGACAGCAAGCTGTCATCACCAAACGATAATATATATATATAATGTGGCCCATTCCGGGACTTCAAAACACCCCCGGCCTAAAAAATAAGATGAGAGAGAGGGAGTTTCAGCCTACGTCACCACAATTATAAGTCAGTTCTTCAGGAATAATTTTTCAGCCATATTTAATGTTTTGTTGATTCAGTTTGGTGAGAGAGAGAAGGAGAGAGACAAGAGGATCAATACTCAAAAAGCTAGTCAAGGGGCCAGCCCCGTGGCATAGTGGTTAAGTTCAGCACACTCCACTTCAGCGGCCCGGGTTCACAGGTCCAGACCCCAGGCGCAGACCTACACCACTCCTCAGCCATGCTGTGGCAGCGTCCCACATACAAAATAGAGGAAGATGGGCACAGGTGTTAGCTCAGGGACAATCTTCCTCAAGCAAAAAGAGAAAGATTGACAACAGAAGTTAGCTCTGGATAAATCTTCCTCAGCAAAAAAAAAAAAAAAACAACTAGTCAGTAAAATCTTTCATTTTTCCTCTTCAGTTTTTCTTCCAGGCTCCCCTATCCTGTCCCTTCCCTATTACTTATTCTTTGTGTCAGTAAAGGGAAACCCTTATCCTTGAGCTTGTGTAGGGAAAAACCTCTCCAGGGTCCCACTGACTGGACAGCACACAGAGGGAGGTGGGTCCCTGCCAGTCGTCAGGCTGCTGGTGGCTACATCTTTCTTTGCCTCTGTCACCGGGTTCACTTCTGCTGCCGCAGGACTTGCCTGCTGTCCCCACTGTCCCCCGAGGAGTGCTCTCCTCGCCTGGTGCATAACGGACTCTGTAATTTGAGCCTCAGTCCAACGGCACCCCTCTCCCCCGAGGGGTCTTTCCTGACAGCCCCTCATGACCACCACTCACTCTTCTTTCCCACTCTATTTTGAAACTTTTTGCTTGTCAGTATCTTTGCTGGTTATCTGTCTCCTGTATCCAACTCTTTGCGACTTGAGAGTAGAGACTTTGTCTGTTCTATTTGCACGCTATTCCCATGTCTAAAACAGGGCCTAGGGTGTGTGGGTGTGTGTGTGTGTGCGCGTGTGCCCGAAATCCAGATTTTTGCATTTGAACTCTCCAAAATTGTAATGTTAGCAATTAATTAAAAAAAAAACTATATAGGTAGAATGAATGATGAAATGCAAGGATGAATAAATGAATGAATAAACATAGAAAGAAGACATATGTAATTCCGGTACCCCAAAAAATCTCTACTTGCCAAATTTCCATTTGTTCGATAGGGTATAAACATTATTTTTTTTTAATTTCATCATAGACACATTTTTTTTGCACTAGGAGGTTGAAGAATGAAGTTTCTGCCATGACCTAGTGGTTCTGACAGTTCTTTATAAACTGTGTAACACTGTGTTGGCAACACATGTTAACTAGACTGACTGTGGTGATCATTTCACAATCTATACAAATATCAAATCATTACGTTGTACACCTGAAACTAATACAATGTTATATGTCAATTATATCTCAATTAAAAAAACAAAAATAAAGGGAAAAAAATTACTGATTAGCACAGAAAAAACACTATGTAAATATAGGAAACCATAATCACTATAATCATCTGCTTTGGCCTCCCCAACCTCTAACTAGGATGGTGAGGAGAACTGCCTGACCTCCTGGAAATGGACTGGAACCAGCTGCTCCGTGACCCCAGGGCCAGGAAACTTCTGGAAAATGACATGTTTCTTTAAAGTCCCCTTTTTCTCATTACGAAAGTTATCTGTAAGAGGCATGTTTATAACCTTTTTAAAAATGACCTGCAATTTCTTGGTCAGTGCCATTTAGGTTTACCAACCATCACAGCTTCCCAGCATTGTCCTCGGAGAACAGAGCAAGAAATCGGGCCGCCTGGAGCCAGAGAGAAGGTTTCAGAGGTGCAGTGCAGTCCCCACTTGCCCTCTCTGGGCCTCACCGTCACCAACTGTCAAATGGGGAGGTGGACGGGACAGCCTCCACTGTTCCTTTCAGCCACAAGGTGCTATAATCTCTAGATGGCGATCCACGTCACACGTAGTGCAAAGGTCAAAACGACTGGAAGCTGTTTGTCAATCATTTCCAAAACTAAACACCTATCTCCGTGGTGGAGATAAAGATCTGGCAACTTTGTAGTTAGCTGGGCTGGTGTAGGTAACTGGTACAGACCAGATAACCAAGCCGAAACTCCCCTTGGGCATTGAAATGATGCGGGCTAACTATCTTTACTGGTTCAGCTCACCAGATGACCAGCAAATCTTTGACTGACAGCGCAGAATCGAGTCAACAGGTTATCTACTGAGCATCTACTAAGGGGAGGGCCCTGCGCCAGGCGCCACAGTGAGGAAACAGGAAAAGCTCACCGGTCCTGTGAGAACCTCAAGGAGAAAGTTTGCTGTGGTCGTGGTGGAGAATAGGCTGGCCTTCAAAGACTAGTGTTCAGCCTATGTTGGGCATCACTACGTTAGTCTCACCTCACACCCTGCGCACACCTCCCTCACGCTACTGAGCACTCTGTTGTTGTTTTCACTAATCTCCTTGCCTGTCTGTCTCCCCCAGCTCCCTCTAAAGTGTGAGGTCCTTAGGTCACCACCAGGGCTCCTTAGCCATGGACTTTGGGCAAATCACTGACTCTCTCTGAAAGACGCATTCTTCATCTGCGGCAGGAGAGTAACATCACTGCTTGGAAGGATTGTTGAGAGGACTGTACGGAATCTACATGAAAGTCCCAATACACCGCCATCTCAGCACTTGATGACTGCTGCTTAGTGGCCCTAGAATAACCATGCTACAATCTAAGTTATTCCCACACTGACGGGTGTTTAGGTTGTTTCCAAATGTGTTCCTATTAGGAACAGGCTCTCTGTGTGTTTACTGGGTCCATGGGTGGATGCTCTTGAGAAGGAGTGCTGGGAGTCAGGTTTTCTGCGCGGGGGCTCTTCCTCGGACACCGCAGGCCTGAATGGTCAGAAGCCAAATGAGGGAGGCCCCCAGATGCTGATGCTACACGGACAACAGGGGGGCAGAGTTTTCCGTAGGAAAGGGGGCTGAGCAGAGTCCAAGATATAGGAAGAGAAGAAAGAAGAAAAGGACTGGAGGTAGAGGAGGGAGACGGAGAGGAAGGATGACAGGAAGCAAGGGGGAGAGAAAGAGAAGGAGGGAAGGAAGGGAGGGAGGGAGGGAGGGAGGGAGGAGGGACAAAGGGAGAGGAAGCAATAGGGTTTCGTCCACGTGGGGAAAAAACCACCTAAGTGTTCAATAAATGTTGGCCTTCATCTTACCTAAAAAGGAAGGAAGGAGAGGGGCTGGCCCGGTGGTGTAGTGGCTAAGTTCGTGTACTCCGCTTCAGTGGCCCAGGGTTCACGGTTTCAGATCCCAGGCACAGACCTACACACCGCTCATCAAGTCATGCTGTGGCAGCATCCCACATACAAAGTGGAGGAAGATGGGCACAGATGTTAGCTCAGGGCCAGTCTTCCTCAGCAAGAGGAAGATTGGCAATGGATGTTAGCTCAGGGCTAATCTTCCTCACCAAAAAAAAAAAAAAAAACAAGAAGGAAGGAGAGGGGAAGAGAAGGAAATAAAAGGTTAAAAGAAAGTGGGGTGAGGGAGGATGAGAAGAAGGAGAGGGCTTGCTGGAGACTGGAGGTGGAGACAAGAAGGAAACCAGTGGACGTGGAACATCATTGGAAAGAAGACTTAGAGCTGAGAGATCCAAATGCCCTTTCCTTCAGTTTTCCCCACAGTCTTCAATGTTTGTTGTTTCTTTTTAGTGATATTTCTGTTATTATTTCTCTAAGGCAGTTAGTTGATCAATAACTATTATATAATAAACTATTATATTATAAACTATAATAATTTTTTCCACCCTAAATTAGGACATGAGGGGAGCAAAGTTTCTATATGGAACAAAGACTGAATTCAAACCCTCCTTGGAGCTGAAGGTCAATAAGGCATGTGGACACATGTGGGTGCATGTGGACGTGCGTGGACGTGGGTGCATGTGGGCGTGCGGACGTGCACGGCCAAGGCCCAATCTGGGAGCACCTCACAGCTTCCTCTCTAACCTGAGTGCAGCCGGGGTCTAGGGGCTGCCATGTTGGCTCTGCCGTTCCTGGTGGACCACACCTTCCCTCCACCCCCAGTCCTCCTCTGCTGGAGGACCAGCATGAGCTATAGGCCTGGCATGAGCGAGAAGGGGGAGTCTCACACACACATGACCTCTCTCTAATGCGGTGCTGGATGATTTCTTTATTCCAAGCTACAGAAATCCTTTTTCTTTCTTTCAGCATTTTGGTTGAGAAAAGGGGAGCATGTGAAAATTCACACCTTTTTCAACAGAAGATTTAACTTGAACGCGTGGATGAAAGAGAAATGGCAACACCTCAACCACTGAAATTGGTAAGACAACAATGGTGGGAATGTCCTAGCTCTGTGCTGCGTCACCAGAAAGGGGACAGAAAGGAGACAAACACCCACCCCCCCCCCGTCTAACTACACCCAACAAGGTTCTGACCAGGGCTTTCTCCCAGGTCCTGGCTTACCTGGGATGGGGTCCCAGGAATGCCAGCTGTGCCCACAGTTTCCACTTGATCCTTACAGTCTAGTCCCCGTGAAGGTGGGAGGGCTGCTTGTGATGATAATTGGGGGGGTCCAACCAGATCCCCTATGGCTCTGAGTCAGGGGCAGCCCACACACAGGTCAGGGTTTGTTCTCTGGCTTCCGAGCAAGGGTGTGGGGACAGTAGTATGGGGCCACCCAGGAGCAAATGGGAGACAACCACCAGCGAAGTGAGTCCCTGCACTCACACGACGCCGTCCGCCTGCGCCCTGCCCGTGCCAACCACCCGTGCGTGTGACAACTTCATGCCTCCTCCGTCCTCCCCAAAGAAGCCTCACCATAAGACTTCTCGACCGAGGACTCACGACGGCAGAAGAAAAGTGAGCGCAGCCGGTGGCTGAGAGGTTTTCTCCTGCTGCTTCGTGAGCTCAGGCGGGGCTGGGGGAGCCAAGCCCCCACAGTCAGGACAGCGACAGGATGGGTGCGACAGAGCCGTGGGGCTGACCGGCTGAAGCTCTAAGTCAGTGCAAGGGAATGTGCACTGAAGACACGGGATGTGAGCCACAGAGAGAGGCAGAAGTCGTTCAGCCCTGAGAACACTACCTCTCCTTAATCACAGGGTTTCAAATGACCATGAGCGACAGGCTGCTGGGCGCAGAGAGACCTGCTCCCCCAGCCACAGCTCCGAGACACTGAAGACGGGCGTCGGGGACGAGCAGAGCGGCCCGGAGGGCAACGCATTGCAGGGCAGCTGGCTGGGGCTGGGGGCCCAAAGCAGGGCCACTTGCCCACAGCCTTGGAGGAAACCAAGGAACTGCGTCATCAGGCAAGATGACCCCACATCAGGCGGGAAGAGCCGGTGGTGAACAGGACACGAAGGAGCTCCCTTACCTGGGTGGGCTTGGGACCCGGAGTGGGCTCCGTGCACCTGCACACAAAACACCACATCGTGAGACACACACGGGAACCCTCCCTGCAGCCCTCTAGTCCAGCCTCAACGCGAGCCGGGGGGACGTTACCTGAACGTCGCAATAAAACAGCAGCAGCCAGGAATGCCAGCAGCAGAGAGGCAGCAGCCTCCTCATGGTTTGTTCAGAGGTGAAAACAGGATGCGAGTGAAATTCCTGAGCCTCTGTGACCAAGTGTCCTCCTTAACTTCCACTTCCTTGGGAAAGGATCATTTTCACGGGTTCCGGAAAGAAAAAGTCTGTTTCTCTAAAGTTGGTGAAACGCAGCTGTCTTGGAGAGTTAGTGGGTGTTTCTTGCTTGTCCCCACACTTGAGAGTCTTCGGTGATGGATAACCACATTGCAGGACCAGACCAGCCACGGGATGCAGGAGGAGAAACCCAGTTCCTAACTGCAGTCCTTAAGGCAACACAGGTCTGTGCCTGCAGCACCGAGGCACGGGGGGCGCCCGTCCGCCCGTCACTGTTTGCCTTCTGTTTCAGGAGTGTTCATTTGTCTCCATCCAGGTTTGGCCCGGGACGTCTCTCTGTTTCCCTGAAGTGAGGAGAGCGAGAAGGCTTTAAAGGAACGTGGTCCTGGGGCTCCCACCCGCTCCCGGGGCTGGAGCGCTCACTGGCCAACTCCTTCTGGTCTGACTCAAGCTTACACCTCGCCCGGCCCCCAGCTCCTTGGGTGGAGAGAGTGAGTGATGTCAGGCTCTCTCCTCAAACTTTGTTCTGTTCTGCTTCTCTATTTATATCCGTCGCTGCACTGTCCTTCCTGGGTCCTAACACCAGCCTGTTAAGAACATCGGGAGTATTTTCAGGATCTTAGGTGCAGAAGCAGACCAAACAGATGTGGGAGTGTATATATACATTAGGTGCCTTCTAGTCAGGACTCTCAATGTCGGCATAAATATTAATAAATACGAAATGTACCACAAACCGTAAACGCTGTTTAGAACTGAGTTTTGTTTGCCCAGAGAAGGAAAGAAGGTGATAGATGGATGGAAAAAGCAAATAAACCACACTCACAGGCCCTCTGCAGAAGCACTGACCGCAATTTTCTCTTTAACTCTTTCAGAGGTGAATGAAAGCTCTGAGATTCTTTACAAGGTGCCTGTGTAATTACACCAAACCCCATGTCCCCCCCAGCATCCAGGACAGTGATCTCAGTGTGCTAGCAGAGAGTCAAACCCTAGCCAGACCATGCCTCAGTTTACTCAAGACCAAAAGTTTATCCCATCAACTCCAAATACATGGTCTCTCTCACACACACACACACACACACACACACACACACACACACGGTTATAGTCACAGCTGAGTGATTTGACTGATATCTGTACTGTATCCAACACTTACTAGCCGTGTGCTCTTAGGCAAGTTACTGAATCTCTCTGCGTTTCAAATTCCTCGTCTATAAAACGGAGGTAATAGTTCCTACTCCATCATGAGAAATGAGATGATACACATCAAGCTCTTAAATCAGGGCTTGGAAAATATGTAGCGCTCCATAAACGCTAGCTAACTTTTTGCAAAGAACAAATATCACCCTATAAATGTTAGCTATGATTATTATTATAAAGTAAAAAATAACACCCATTACATGTTAACTGATATTATCTCCTTTGTCCTGACTTTAAATGGGAACAGAGTCCTGAATCCGAGTACTTCCTAACGAGGATGCGAGAATGACTTCCCGTCTCCATGGGGGAGAAAGAAAGTGATGTCAAAACCTGGCGATTATTTTTAACTTGTGCCTGCAGCCCACAACCTCCCCGATGGTCGGACAGCCTGAACTCCTTGCACAGCCGCAGCAGGGTTCTGGATAATTCTATGAACAGTCTCCTATCTTGTGGCACTTGAAAAACTGTGAACTCCAAATACACGGGGCTGTGTGTAATAACGACGTTTATCCTGTGGCCTAGGGGTGATCCTCCTCGGAGAGACTGATTTACAGCCTCTAATCTTTGCATTTCATCAGTTCTCAGTCCCTCCTGCTGCCTCCCTCTGGAGGAAAGTGGAAGATGCAGAAGGAGGGGCGGCAGAGGCAGATTCCTCTCAGCGCAGGTTAAACAGATTGCTAAATCTATATGGACCATTCCCAAGTCTGAACAAAGCCAACGTGTTTCTTTTTCAATCATGAAAGTTAGCGTCAGATAACGGGAGGCACCCCAATTCAGAGGCAGTAATAAAAGCTGGATATAAAGCAAATTAAGCAGAATGTGCCTTCCGGGTGTCTACACTCACCTGTAGACTGCCTTTTGATCTCCATCCCAGACTCCAAGTTTGTGCTATTCACATCCCTCACTGCTCTCCCTTCTCCTTGTCCGGAGGTGGCAATGAGCCCACCTTCATTTAAAGCCACATTTCCCAGAGTGCGGAGACTCTGGAAATGCCCTGGTGGATTCGAGGCTGGGGCGGCGGCACGTGGGATCCCCGTGCGCGCCTCGCCTCCCCACCTCCTTCCTGTCGTGCCCAGATCGCGTCTGGACCCTGAAGCCCTTTCCTGTTATATTTGTCTGTGTCACTTATCACTGTCTGATATCCTTTCGATCTTAAATGTTTATATCATTTATTGTCAATCTCTCCCCACCAAAATGTAAGCCCCACGTGAGCAGGGAAGTTTTTCTGTCTTGTTCACTCTGCATGCTCAACTCCTAGAACAGGACTAAGTGTCTAACAGGTATCCAAGAGTCAATATTGAAAGGATATTTTTTCGAATGAGTGCGTGTGTGTTTACCTTAAGGGGTGGAAAAAATTGTCATGCTTTGGTAAAAGTATACGAGGTTCACACTGAGGGAGACGTTAATCAAGTATTAAAAATGGGACCTTATGTCCCTTCTACGTGGAATCTAAACAACAAAGCTGCACTCATGGAAACAGAGTAGAATGGTGGCTGGGCTGGGGGTGGGGGGATGGGCGAGGACGGTCAAAGGGATGAACTTTCAGTTGTAAGATGAACAGGTCTGAGGATCTAACATGAAACATGGGGACTGCAGCTGGTAACATGGTATGGTAGAGTTGAAATTTGCCAAGAGAGCAGAACTTAAGTGCCCTTACCAAAAAAAAGATAAATATGTGAGGTGAGGTGACAGATGTGTTAATTAACTCAATTGGAGGACTCCTTTCACAACACATACATCTATAATATCATCACACTGAACACTTCAAATATATTACCATATTATTTGCCAATTATACCTCAATAAAGCTGAAAAAAGAAGAGGGACCTTAAATTCCAGTTAGGCTCTATTCAATAAATTTTTACAGAGATGAAGCCAAGTGTGAAGCCAGCTGGAAACGAGGACCTAACTGGATTATTCACACAGTACGGGGCCTGTGCCCAGAGGAGGAAAGCCTGGACCTTGGGAAGAATGCAGTAAGTCGCCCAGATGCTGAGGAGGTTAGACCAGCTGTGAAGCCTCCTAACCGCCCCTCCCCCGGCCTCGCCGCCTGCGGTAAACCGTCGTCTCGGTGAGAAGCTGCAGAGCCGTGCGTGTGCTGCCCCGCTGACTCCGAGGGGACGGACCCAGGAGGAGCAGTGGTCCTTGAGCCCGTGTGAAGGGGCACACACAACGCCCAGGTACTATAGAAACTAGAGCAGTTAGAGTTTGCGAGATGAATTCATTGAGGACGTGACACAAAGGAGCCAGGGAATCCTTTCTCTTAATGGACGAGGAAAGGAAGAACATTCCAGAAAGAAGCCGTGGCGTGGGCTAAGGCTCCAGATGCAGCGTGGCGTGTATCATGGACAAATGTTGCTTCTGCCAGCCCAGCCTCCCTTTTCCCTTCTGTTGATAAAAGCATGTGGTTCTCTTTGGAAAACGCTTCCTTCACCCCCCACATGCTTACACGGGGACTGCAAGTATCACAGTGGGCATGGGGCCAGGGGGAACACTCGTGCACCTCCACGCCGCGGACCCTGTGATCACCCAGAGGTGTGCGTGTGACCCACTCGGTACTAATCAGTGTCTTCCCTGGGATGAATGTATCGACCCTAGCAGAGAGAAGGTCCCCCTCCCCAATAGAGCTGCTAACCCAGAATGATCTTAAATGAAGGCTGCTGATGCCCATTTTTGTCACTACAAAGAGAATTACCCACAGTAGGAAAAAAATGAGAAAACAGAAGTAAGAGACTTGATGACGTCTGTTGAGCCCCTGGATCCTGCTATGCCTAAAGCCAGTTTCACATAGAGACCAATAACTTCACATTTTGGCTCCAGCAGGTTTGAGCTTGGTTTCTGTCCCTGGCAACTGAGTCCTGGGTCAACGCAACGTGTTTGAGAAGCCACAAGTAATTTGGCATTTAGTGAAACATGGGCACAAGCGGGAAAGTGGCAGGAGCACAGGGAGGCCGGAGCAACAGGCGATGCTCCCCTTTGCCGGCCTGCATCCCGGGCACCTCCTGCTCACCGCTGTCCGTCCTCTCAGCCTCGCTTCTCATTCCAGCCGCGTTAGGATGACCTTCTCCACACCGGCTGCTGCCAGCTTCACTCCTGACCACAACTCTCCTGCGGGCCAGAGTGTGGCTCTGTCTGGGCCTCTCCTGCTCAGCAGGTGGGACAAGAGCCCACTCAGCCTCGTGCACAAGCACCCAGAAATGGGGGGCTTACTGACATGGGGCAGCCCTGCCCAGTGAGGCCCAGGACCCAGGGGATAAGCTCTGCCCCTTCTGCCCTTCCCCTCCAGGGGCAGCAACTCAGTAACACCTCCTGGAGTTGCCTCCGCACCTGCCTGTGTCACTCCCCGTGTAAACACCTCTGCCCCTGGAATCACACCAAGGAAATTGCTCACACACAGTCTGTGCCTCAGGCTCTGCTTCCGGGAACCAAGGATGAGACCAACCATCAGGTGTGTTGGTCCCATGGGTCTCGGGCTTTCAAGGAGTCAGTGAATGCCTCGAAATCACATGCACAACTTCACTTGAATGCACACATGGGAAATTTTGGGGAGAGAGGGTCCATAGCTTTCATTAATTTCCAAAGAGGAGGGGATGGGTAAAAGCTTAAGAAACTGTTTGGTGTGTGAGGAGGGCTTAGGCAAGACTACGCACAGCAGATGTGGCTAATTGCCTCCCAAACTCTGTTCTCCCCCTCCTTCTTCCTGCGCAGAATCCCAGGGACATTGGGTGCCC